AAATCCGAAATTAGTCATGGAGAATATTTTGAAAAACAATAAAACCAATTTCGATCCTACATATTTGTTTTTTCATTATAAGGCCAGAAATATAAATAGCAACCCCCGTAATTTACGTCAACGAAAAATGTCGTAGAAACAAAAAATATTGAAGGACATGCGTTTTTACGTTTCGGGTTTAAAAACAAATAATATTTAAAAAAATAATAATAAAATACAATGGATTTTATTTATAAGCACAATAAAAAGATAAGATTTTGCAAAGTTTGGTAAGGTAATTCTTTTCCCTTACCATATAGTAGAATTTTTAGATTTAATTTAATATAGAATAAAAAGAAAAAAGATATTAAAAGATTAAGTTTACTAAGTAATGGCATATTTTATTCTGCTTTCAAAAGATCTGCAGATTACATACAAATTATAGATACGAAAAAATCATTTTTAAGTCACCGTTCTCACTATATTTTCAAAATAGAAACTTAAAGCAGAAATATTTTTCGAGTACTTTTTAAACACATCAATAAAATTGAAATCTAAAATCGATAATTTAATATTAATAGATTTTTGTATGGATATTAAATTTCAACTTTAACATCAAGAGCCTAGTGTAAGAAATAAAAGCGAATCGAAGAAAATAATAGTTAGAAATGATCTTTGTATTTTTAAAATATTATCTGTATGCACGATTTTATGAAAAGAAAGAAAAATCAGTTTATACGGTTGCAATCTTTAAAAATAATCTCAAACTTAAACAAAACATTAATAATTCAAACATTCTTGAGTCTATAACTAGACTATTAACTTTGAAATTTAACAAAATTTATCTTTAGAACAAATGACAATGGTACAAACTTTCTTAAAAACCGGTAAGAGAAAATTCTCTTTAACTGTGAATCTTAATATTAATTTAATAACACTGAGAAATTCGTTTTTGAATCAATAATGGATTTGTAAAATTTAAATGTCAGAGATGTTAAAAATAAACCTTTCAACTCAAATATTTTCTCTCGAGTATTAATTTGTTTAGCCGTAAGATATAAAAGCAGCAGAGACAAAGTAAACATACCTAGGCATGGAATAAAAATATTTTATTCTCTAAGAAAATGACGATGCTGTTGAAAATGTAATTATGGTTTAAAAGAACAAGTGAATAAAAAATAGCGAAGGCTTTTGGGAAAAGATAAGTAAAAAGGGTCAGAAAACTAGATTTAGTAGAAAAAAGATAAAATTTCTAGAAAAGAGGCAGGCCTTAGAAGTTTTCAATAGATTTTTCTAATCAAAAATAGAACTTTCAGAAAATGCCGGACATACTGAAGAATGTTTAGAAACAAGCAGATGATACGCAACTTTGATGCCATAAGACGGAAATAAATAAATAAAACGATTCGATTCCAACCTGCAACAGCTAGGGAGTTCGTGACGATAAAAATTCAGCGTTCTTTTTTTTTTTTCAAAGCGAAAAGTTTACCAATAAATGAATAAATTTCGCAATAAGTCACGTAACACTTAGAAATATGGATGTCGTTTTATGGATTTCAAGGAAAATAGATTTTTTTGTAACAAAAAGTGAAGTTATATCGTCTGAAAAAAAATCAGCTTTTATTATTATCGCTAGAACATTTTTAGAATATCAGACGAAGTACTCCAAACACGGAAAACGACGAATTTCACAAATATGTAATAAAAAAATCAAAGAAAAGGAAATTTATTATATTAACTTGATTTCTTATACGAGGGGGAGGGTTTTTTCTTAATTGAAATTTTGACCATTTTCCGACTAGCTAGAGTACTTAAATCAGCAGCCACATGGCTGATGACAGTGCAAATTTCAGTCGTTTCCTGATTCCTAAAAGCGGAATTTATCACCTAATTCAATATCTATACATATTTAATTATAATCAGTTGTATTGCTTACAAATCCGAAAATAAATGTGATAAATCTGAGTTACATAAAATGTAAAATCGTATTAAATTAGTAAATAAAAATTTTAATTAAAAAACTTGATAATTAACAAATTTAAAAATACTTAAATTTTTAGAAAGTTTTCATCAAACGATTAATCAAATGTTTGTTTTAATCAAACAGTTTTTTTGATAATTTTTAACAGGCGTAATTTCGTAGAAACAATTTCCTTTAATTTTCATTTAACATATTTTTCCATTAAACTATTATTATTTCCATTAAATTCAAATAAACTTAGTATTTTTAACATAGTAAATAAAATTTTCCAACTAACCCTTTAACGTAAAATTTTTTTAAAATACATTTTTCATTTTTTTAAATTATTTTGATTAAATTAGGCCAAAATAAGTGAAAAAATATTATGGTTAGCATTTCAATAATTTTTGGTTATGAAGTACAGCTTGAAACACCGGTGTTTTTCTCTGTGTTAAAGGTAAAATCTCTCAAAGCTTATTTCCAAACAATTTTTTTTATAATTTGCAATTATTGATGTAAGAGAAACAGTTGTTCATAATTGAAACTTCTTTAATTCGCAAAATCAATTGTTGATATATTCTTTGAATATAAATGTTAAAAAAAAGTTTTTTCAAATTACTTTATTTGGATTTTATATTTTAGTTCAAATATAATTTCGATAATTTAACAGATTAGACAATTACTATTAGACAATCTTTCCTCAATTGACAGTTTTTTTTTTCCTCGAAAGTGCAGATTTGCAAAATTGACCGCTTCAATTATATTTAAATCTTTAATTTAGAGAACAGGCAATCTCCGATAAATTTTTTAAGAATATGATTTGTTTTTAGACTCAACGATTCAATGAAAATAAAAATAAATAGAAAATTCATAAGTGGGCAAAGCTTGCTCACAATAAAAACATAAAATGCTTTTGATTATATTTTATAATCATATAGATAATCTCTAAAAGAACCGCTAATCGTAAATCCAAGATACATAAAAAGCTCAACTAGCAATTAATAAAGTAAATCATACATAATGACCATTAGCAACAGATTTAAGATAAAAACTCAAGATAAATAAGACAGTAAAAATCATCGAAAAAAAAGCATACCTCTGGGGTCATTCTAGAAATAGTAGGCATGTCGTACCCGGCCTGCAGGAACAATGGACAGTACTCTTCAAATTTTAAACTGGTCAACCAAGCAGATAAGATTTCACCGTCCTGAAAGAAAAAAGAAAATTTTAGGGCATTAAAACAACACTATCTTAAAACAGATGGCGGTAAGAGATGCAAATAACAGAGCAAATGGGCGTTTAATTACTGGAGGCGGCAATTTAAAAGCGCCAAGGGGTGTGCAGTTCCATCGTTTCTCTCGCATTGGAAGGTTTTAGTGCTTAACACGAAAAGATAAGAGTGAATTGCAAAATGGATATGTTCTGAAGGTGCTCTATAATGTTTATGTGGCGTCCTGAGTGTCGCCAAGAAAAACTTCCACCATGAATTTAGATTTTGAGAAAACTTTTTGAGTTCATTAAGAGTGTTAAGAGCATGCGTCGATTCAGTGCAAGTTAAGAATGCTTTTCGAAATTTTTTCGCCAAGAAAAATGGAAAAAAAAAAGTGTTTGCGAGTCTTTAAATTGGAAGCAAAGCTTTAATTTTACACTATATATATCTAAAAGAATAGAATTGTTTTCGGAAACTCTGTCATCAAATACAATAACACTTTTTTTTGTCAATAATAAGTTATTTTAATAGTCGGTCATATTTCGCTAGCGCCTTTTTTTGATAAATCGAAAATTAGCGCAAGACGCCAATATGAAAAAAAAAAAAAAAAAAAAAAAAAAAAAGCCAAAGTTTTGTGAAAATTAATAGCGTTTGTGATTTTATTTCTTCAATATTTAAAAAATAACTTCAATTCATCATTATCTGGGCTCATAAAAATTTTCCAAAATTGAGAACTATTTATTGATTACGTTGCTTTTCATCTTAGCAGTAAAAAACTCGCCAACTTGGTGATTTAAAAAATAAATAAATAAAATATTTTTGGAACGAAATCTTGTAGATAAAGAAGTTACTGTAAGCAAAAAAACAAAATTTAAAATGTATATTTACGGTCGCATTTAAGAAAAATAAGATTTTGCCCTAGAATAAAACCACGGATAAACCACAAAGTGGATAATCCACCCCTGGATAATCGGAAAATTTCTGCATTCAATTCTTTTTATAAATATGGTTAGTTCACAAAAGATAATTTTCTAGAAACTATAGTTCACGAATAGACTAGTAAAAATTTGGAACGCACTCTTAAGAAAGCCAGGATTTTTCACCATCAAAAAGTTTGGGAACAACCCTGTAAGAGTGTCTTTTCTACTGTGAGATTCGAAAGGTATGAAAAGCACTTTACAGGGTTCACAAGTTTTGAAAGGGGAAGAATGAATCGATGTTCACATTTCAGTAAATAAAATAGCTTTAAAAGGTTAACAAAATGCTTAGGAGTAAATTTTTAACTGAAATTTGAATATATAAACATACTTAAAGTGGTTTTATACTTTTGTTTTTTTGTATGTAATCATTATCAAGCGAATTAAACTTCTGATTTTTAAAAATGGATCATTGTTTTTGAGGTAATGCAAAAGTCGTCAAAGGATTAATTTGATAATCAGATGTATTAAAGGTTATAACTGAGTTCTTTGATGTAAAAAGGGCACAAAAAACATATGGCAAAATAATAACTTATGTCTTTTCTACATCAAGTGATTAAATTAGTATAGCTAAAAAGAAGGCCTTATCAGAATAATGGGACTACGGACCAGCTCGTTTTGAAACGAAGGGATTTATAATCTAATTATAGTATATTTTTATCTTTTCCTGGCCGTTCCCTGTTTGGTTGCAGAAATAAGCAGATGCAGTAGGTTTAAAATAAAATAGAAATTTCTTGTATGAACTAGAATGCAAGACTTCAGTTTTTTTTTAATATTTAAATGGAGTTAAACCACTATCCAGTTAAAGCCTCTGAATTCTCCATATTTTCATATCCATACTCTCCATATTTTCCAAAAATCAATACTATTTCCTAGTGTAATCGAATTTATACCTTTTCAATAATAAAAACGTGGAATAATTAATAATATTTCTGAAAAATAAAATATTTTATTGCCCTTAGAATATTTTTTTAAAGATTTATATTTTGGGATAAGGAAAACTGCTTTGCATCAAAATTTTTCTGGTAATTTTGTTTAATGACGCTGAAAATTATAAACAGAAGTTAGCGTGCAGGAAAAAAAATTCACAAATGAGAAAAATAGATGCATGGTTACTCAGAATTTAGAAGAAGAAATAAACACTTCCATTCTTGAAAATAAGTTTACATAGAAAACGATACCAACATTTTTCTATTCATTTCACAGTAGCAAACGATACGGCGCCAAATTTCTAACTCGACACTGGCAACAACAAAAGAATATGCGGAGTTCCCAGAACAAAAATGCAAAAAGCCAATTACCAACTTTTAAAATTCAAACGATAACGATAGTATTCCATGGGAACTTGAACAAAATCGCATAACGACTCGAGGGGAAGCAAAATCTAAAAAGTAAGATAAAAGCGTGTAAGAAAGGGTTTGATACTGAAATTATACTTCGCTTTTAGTAAAAAACGTTGCCTGACTTCTTGGAAACGTGAGATCCTATATTTGAGATTATATGAGATTTTAAATTACGAATAAAAGAATGGGGAAGAATTTTGGCAATGAAAAAGGATCCGATGCTAGATATTTTTTTATTTAACCCAAGAGAATTCAATTCAAGAAGTTGGATTTAGTCCAACGCAAAAAGTTGAGTGTCGGACCCAGCAACCCTGATTTTCTTTAAAACAGCTTTTTCTGAGCGACCAAAAAATTTTATGCTCTATAAAGCTATAAAATGCAATGCATAACGCGCGGTGAATGTTTTTGAAATTGTATTTTCAATTATATAAGATTCGATTTAAATCGAAAAAATAATGGGAAAAAAAATATTTTGCGTGGTAAATTGTCCCAGAAAAATGCATAAAAAAGTAACGAGATTACACTAATTGCTAAATTAATTTGCTGATGAAAGTAGATATAATTTAGAAATCGATATTTAGAAATCAAAATTAATTCAATATTAAAAACTTTTCATTTTTATAATTATTAAAAAAAAAAACTTTTTGCGGTATCAAAAATCAGAAAATTTTCATGCAAAATAAATAAATAAATAAATAAAATTAAAAAAAAAAAACTTTTAATGCAAGTTTTTAAACAACACGAAATTAATTTATTTTTGATTAAAAATTAGATGATCAAACCGATTCATTCAGGAATTAAATAAATTTTGAAAAAAAAATTATATATATTATCTAAAGTTTCAAATTTATGAATGAATTTTTTTTAACCGTGTAGTATGCAGCACGATATAATTTTATTATGATAGTAACAATATTTTTGCGGATAAATACTTTTTTGTTTTAATAGATCTAATGTAGTCTTTAAAGGGAGTTCTTTTAAGTAAAATATTATGTTAAATGCATCAAATGGAAAGTTAACAGGAAGATTTAAATTTTTTATGTAAAACATTTTTATTTGCTAACTTTAACAAAGAGTTTCACAAATTATTCTCTAACAAATATTTAATCTTTTTCTTCTATTTACAAAATAAACAGAAAGAAAAAGTTTAATGCAATAACTTATAACGCGCATTACCATTATAAAAAAATAATTAAACTACGTCATGATCATGAGGAACTTAGTTTGATTTCCATTCAACTAAAAATTTTTCTTGTTGTGATTATTTAAACTGCTTAAACTGTGAAAATAAAAAATTGGTCTGCAATTAAAAATTTAGGGCAGTCCTTTTGAACAATAAAATTACCAGTTTATCCAAATTGCCTAGTTGCTCTAAATAAAAATAGTTTTAAATTGAAAAAAGGCAAACAATCAATTGAATGAAAGGCTAATAATCAATTATGGAGAAGAAAAAACTGTTAAAACTTAAATAATTTTGGTAAAACGATTGAAACTATTCATTAAAAAAATTAATAAATTTTAAATACATAAGCAAAGAGCCTATCATTAACGGAAAAATATAATAATATTTATTTTTTAGAACATGAAAACAAAAGCAAAACTTTGAATTCGTAAACACAAACCTAATTCAAGTGCATAAATAAATAAATTATAAATAATTTTCAATAAATCATTCTAAAATGCATGCTTAAGAATTTTCCAAAACCCTCTATTAGCTGCCTTAAAATTACAAAGATGCTAATTATTGTGCTTTTTGCAAACTTTCCCTGGAGATAGTAAAAAAGCAGATTAAAATCATTACAATAATTATTTTTTTTAATTATTAAATTTTAAGTAACACAGAAAATAAAAAAAACTAACATAAAAGCACGATAGAGATGTGTTCGGTGGTCTTTTGGTGGTCTAAACAGAAGAATTTTAATCCGAGTCCGAGATACATAGGTTTACTTAACCCGAGATTTACTTCGGATAATTCTGTTATTCTATAGAACGTACTTTAACAGACAAGAACTGCGATGTACTTGAGGGCTATGCCTCTACTCGCTAATACTCTCTAAACTGTGTTCACTTCACATCATTTACGATACATTATATATTACCTTTTACTATCTGTTAAAAAATAATCTCTCACTGTGTCATTTGAACGCCATAAGTTCGCCACACTTCCTATATTTGAATTTCGCTCACGTCGACCTGTGAGGGAACGACGTCGAACGCTTGGTATAGGTATCGACAGAAACTACAAAATAATTAAAAAAAAAAAAAAAAAAAAAAAAAAAAAANAAAAAAAAAAAAAAAAAAAAAAAAAAAAAAAAAAAAAAAAAAAAAAAAAAAAAAAAAAAAACTTAAACCTCACAAAACAAACCTCCGAACAAAAGTAGCAGATATCTAATTTTTCATACCGTATAAATTTTATATTTCTTATACTTAACAACTGAACCAAACATATTTTTAAAAAGTAATAAAGAAATTTATGAAAACTTTGCCATAAGTCTGAACTCGGGCAACTTTTTTATAAGCATATATACGTTTTATGATATGTCATTGGGCTGCCAGGGCGCAATACTAATCACTTTGAAACTATATCACCGTTAGTTTTAATATTACTAAGTCTTAAACTCCATGACTTCCTTTTTCAACAACTGGCTGCTGCTGGAGAGTTATACATTTATAATTG